GCCTCGCACCGAGGACCTATCCACGTCATCATTTACCCAGAATGCTTTGTGTGTAAATAAAATGGCCCCGTCCGTGTAATATATTTTAAACTTTTAATTAAAAAATGATAAAAACTGAACATCCTACAGTATTTTTACAGTCTTTATTTTACAGCTAAAGTATATGTTTATTATAAAAAGTCTAATGTTACAACTAATTGGGGATCCCTTTAAGAACAAAAATAGCCAAATCTTTTGGAGTCCTGTACAAAGTAAGAGAACTGTTCACTGATAAAGCACTGTTTATGTTGTATAACGCTGTAATTGTTCTACATTTAATTTACTGTATTGAAGTCTGGGGTAAAGCTTGTAAAACTATCACAAATCCTATTTTTATTTTACAGAAAAGCGCTATAAGAGTTATCACTAAAAAAATTACAGTCATCCTTCGAATATATTGTTATATGAATTGAAATTATTAAAATTCTAAGATTTGGTTGATTATATTTTGCTGTCAATGTACAGAGCTCATAAAGGTGTGTTACCTTCCAACATTCAAGTAAATTTTGTTAAAAGACAGAGCTGTTATTATCTTAAGGGAATCGAAATGTTTGTGAAACCCTGGTTCTGTACGAGCCTGAAGGAGCGATCCACTTTAATCCAGGGAATAAGATTATGGAACAGCGTAGAAGATGAGGTTAAAAATGCCAGATCCTTGTATACATATTAAAGATGATAAAATCTAGTATTCTGAGGAAATATAGAGAAGTATAAGTGAATTCATGCTAATTGTTGTTTGAGTTGGTGTTTTAAATTTTGTTTTTAGTTTTTTGTTTTTTCAGTTGTTTTGATTTTTGTTGTAATTACTTTTATTTTGAACATATTTTGGGTATAAAAAGGGGCAGATATAAGATTTATTCTTCTTCTGCTGCCTTTCATTTTATTTTATTTTATTTTGATTGCATGTTTTTTTGTGTGTTTAAAAAAAGATTTATACATGTCTGAAATCTGTCGTTATACTGTTTGTGCCTTTTCTCGTTTCCTCCCCCAGGTGATGCTTCAGGCAGGTCACTATGATCCAGAGGCGATCCGAAACTGTGCTGAGAAGGTGGCTGTGCACTGGCAGCAGCTGATGCTGAAAATGGAGGACCGCCTGAAGCTGGTCAATGCTTCTGTGGCGTTCTACAAGACATCTGAGCAGGTATGCTTCCAGGCTTCACACACACACTCACACAGTTTGGGTCTCCATACAAACAGCTCTGTGTGTCTCTGTAGGTGTGCAGTGTGCTGGAGAGCCTGGAACAGGAGTACCGCCGGGATGAAGACTGGTGTGGGAGTTTTGACAAGCTCGGTAGTTCAGCTGACAGTGACCACTTGCTGCCTCTGATCAGCAAGCACCTGGAGCAGAAGGAAGCCTTCCTGAAGGTGAAATAATGGATTAGTTTAGCTGCTGCTTTGCACTGCATAAAAATGAGATAAAGCTCCTAATTAAGATTTGTAGTTCACTGTGATTTACTGTACATTGTTTTTGTGAAAGACTCAAGTCAGTTTCTTATTGCTGGAGTTGTCATTCAGGATGTGTGTGTCTGTTTTTGCTCTGTACTGGTGTGTTGTAGGCTTGCACGCTTGCTCGAAGGAATGCCGAAGTGTTTCTGAAGTACATTCACAGAAACAATGTGAGCACTCCTGGGGCTGCAGGCCACACCAGAGGACCAGAGCAGCAGGTCAAAGGTGAGCTCCACTGTGGCCCATCCAGCTGCTCTGTCAGCATCAAACCTGCGCCCCAAAGCTTCATCTCACTGAGATGCAACTCGTTTGGCAAAGGTCTAGATTTACTTGCACGCCAAGGCTCACAGTTATGTTTCTTTAAAGTACCAGTAGCTTCGTTTCCAATGCAAATGTGTGCAAAACTTTGTCGATATTCTTTAAATGTCGAAAAAACAGTTTTGCAACTGCAGTGTTTCCATTAAGTAAAAAATGCTATTAAAGTCACGCGTGAATACATTTTTTCTTGCGATAAGTCATTACAAACATGGCGGCGATGGATGTAAACACATAGCATGTTKCTACCACGACACTAGTGCTCATCATCAGAGGAGACGTCGGTGTCTTTTATCGAGGCTTTCCAGAGACAAGTCCCTACTTGGGAGCGGCAACGTTTGCTGTGTTTTTGGGAAATTGTAGTCGCTGAAATTACTACTTTATTTTACTAAGTCTGTGATATTACTACTACTTCTACTTCCTGTTATCTTCTTTGTCGTCGTCTTTTTCACCAGTAGAAACAGCCGGTTGTTGATCACGTGGCTCCCGTGATGCAAAAAAAGTGTTTCCATTAGGGATGTCCCGATACCACTTTTTCACTTCCGATACGATACCGATATTACAACTTTGAGAATTGTCCGATACCGATATTGACCGATACCGATATTGACCGATACCGATATTGACTCGTTACCATAACAGTACAAGTCACACACTTTTACCTATTTTGTAGTGTAAAATCTTAGAAAAGTCTTGATCAAGTCAAACAGTGTAAAAGGGTAGGTATGAGAAAAACTGACCCATTTATTTTTAACCAATGGATCACATACATTTTAAACTGAAGAACATTCTACAATATAATAAAATAAATTTTAATACCCTGAAAAATAAAACATAATAAAAACAAAATGTTCTTTTAAAGTATAAAATAACAATTCAAAATTACTTTGGTTATTGTTTTACTACCTGTCAGCCTGGTGCTGCTTTATGGTGGAAAAAACTGAAGGTGGGGACAAAACAAAAGCCCACATTATTGTCTGTTCAAAGTTAAGAGTCCACAGCTCCAATTTTACTGACTGTAACCAAAACAATCATTGCACTTAATCTTCACTCAAACAAGTGTGTAAACAGATTAAACATCACTCTAATAACAAGAGCAAAAAATAAATAGTAAGAATTAGTCGGTTATTTAAATTGATAGCTACCTTTCTTACTGCTGCATTTTCTGAGCATCATGTGGAGATCAGCCTCTCGCTCCTGCAGGGAGCAGTTTTTATCACTGCTCTCGTCATGTCCCGCTCATATTCCAAAACAAAAGCTGCGCTCTCCTTTCTTCTGTCCATCAATCCCAGAGCTAATCCACGGGATGTCAAAACTGTAAGCATGCTGTCCTCGCTTCTGCCAGCTTAGAACCACCGACCGGAACAGAGAGGAGGTTCTGAAACAGCTCGGCTGTGTGCGGTCACTGGACCGAGGCTGAACCGAGCCGAAACACAAAGCTGCTGCCAGGGTGGAGAGAGTTGTTGCTCCGGTTTAAAACGTTCACGGTTCTGTATTCCCCCTCGGAAAACTCGTGCKTGACAACTTTGCACTTAGCTGCAACTCTGTTTCTGATGAAAACAGAAAGTTCTCCCGACATTCTTGCTAACTTGTTAGCGCAGCATGTTGTTGTGATCACGTGAGCGCTACATGCTGGATCCAAGCGCTGCTGGATAGAAACACTGGAGCGGAGTCAGTGAACTGCTGGAATGGACTGCTTATATCGGAGCGCTTATATCAGACATTTTTTATGCAGGCTGATACAATCCGATTCTCGTTTTTTGGCTGATATCGGACCGATATCCGATATCAATATCGGATCGGGACACCCCTAGTTTCCATTGCAGTTTTGCGAAAAACACCAATTTCGATACGGCCGAAGAACCACCTCATCCTAGCGCAAAAACATTTAGTCAAAAAACGTAATTTTTTAAAAATTGACGTGTTTCCATTGAGCAAATTTATTTTTGAAGTTCTAATTTGCACATTCTCGTGGTCAATGGAAACACAGCTTGTGACATCAAATTTCTGTAATAAATGTGAATGCGTTTTTGGAACGAGAACATTACTAACATATTGCAAAACAAATTTCATGCCATTGAGATGAACAGTTGAGATATTTGCATGTGAATAAACAGGAAGTGATGTCAAAGGGGAATGTCTGCATTTAATCAGAGCGATGCTACAATAATTACAGAAGAATCTGATGTTTCTTTAGATTATTTTGAGTCACTATCAGAAGAGTTTAAATAAGATTGTCTCAATAAACAAAGAATAAACAGTTTCTTTTCTAAAAGAGTTCCCCTTTGATGTCACTTCCTGTTTCACATTGCTGAGCCAAATTTAAGAGAAAAAATGCCAGCTATGAGACAAAATGGGTAAAATCATGTGTATTATGCTAATTTTCCTAAATATAAATGTTTTCTTTGACTTTTTATATTTGAAGGATAAGCATGTCACAGGCCCTTTAACTTTCAACATGCTTGAAAAATGTGTTAAATTTTCTTTCAAAACCATCAGACTCACTGCGGAGGTTTCACACACTTCTGAAATCATCAGGTATATTAAATCCAGCTTTTGAGCACGAGTTGTATTTTAGAACCCTCATCTGACAGAGAACATGACCAGGTTTAAATAATTCTGATGTTAGATAATAAAAAAATAGACTCAAATCTGCAGATTTTCATTTCAAAAGTGTATTTAATCATAATTGTAAGGACATCAATCAACGCGGGTTCAAAGCAGCCTGATGAAGGTATGATATGGGCTGGGGTAGACAGTGAAATAATGTGCACGGCAAATAATCTAGTTGTGCAAGCTGTGCAAACAAAAACTACGATTTTCAAAAATGTGTCGTAAAATACGATGTAAGGCTTCATTAGTCATTTTAGTCACAAATGCTCAGAATTGAGTGAGACTGTGACCTAAAATTGCCATTTTTATTAAAGTGTCTGTGTGTCAGCTGTGAAGTCAGTTGTGATGTTGTGTTTCTGTCTGCAGCCATCTTGAACGAGCTCCTGCAGAGAGAGAACCGGGTTCTTCACTTYTGGACGTTGAAGAAGCGCAGGCTGGACCAGTGTCAGCAGTACCTGGTGTTTGAGCGCAGCACCAAACAGGTGAGTTGTCGAGGCACGTTACAGAAACACCAGGAGCTACAGCTGCCTCCGTTCAGGGTTTAGGTGAAACCAAATCAAAAGGTCTGGTTTGTTTGTGTGTGTTTATAAAGGCATGTTTGTTTGTTTTCAGGCTTTGACTTGGATCCAGGAGACAGGTGAAGTTTACCTGACCACACACACATCACCTGGAGACARCAGTGAGGAAACACAGCAGCTCCTTAATGACTACCATCAGTTCAGACTTACTGCGAAGGTACACTCCTGTACAACTTTGATGGTTCGAATAATTAAATCATCTTTAGAGATTATTTGGTGGGTTTTTTTTAGTGTTTAGTGAAAATCTAATTCAGTTCAGTCAGTTTTTCCACTTTAGGCTTAAAAATCAAATTCAGACAACAAACTGTGTTCAAATCAAACTTGTCATTGAACAACAATTGTTGTTTTTTTAAAGTTACAGCGAGTAAAATAAGTATTGAACACGTCACCATTTTTCTCAGTAAATATATTACTAGAGGTGCTAATGA